CTAAACCGCGCGAATCTTCACTATAGTATGTAAATACAAATTATCGTGTTTCAGGCCTGGGCCGCCTGGAACACTAGGAGAATAGGTATGTACCTAACCGTTTTAACATACAAATGGCCTTCTAAATAATTAATTATAAAAAAAAGTGAATATAAAAAAGTGATTGTATTCATTCTTTGTAAATAAATACTCTTTGTAGAGTACACTAAAACCTAAATATAGTAAATTCCAGAAGAGACTAAAAGCCACTAAGGGCTCACTCAGCCTTTAAAAGCCTTCTTATTTTTCTAAGTAAAATATAAAAATTTACGCCTACCCTTAGTCTGACTTAGACCTCAGATTCAAAGGCACAGTGCCCCTTAGCTCAATACGTTTAGCCTAGATGCGATCTAAAACTTTAAGCGTTTTAAAGTATATCGATCAGAAGTCCCTTCAATGTATGAAGGAAATGAAACCAGACTTTCAATTACTGAGCCGATGGCATGATACACTATCAAAGTTTCATTTTGATATCAAACATCTACCAGTGATACATAACCATTTACCGGATATGTTATCACGCTTTGTACCGGACTTTAATAAATCCGTACGTGAGTTACTAGCCACTGATTGGAAATGTAACCCCAGGTGGTTTGAACTGGCTCAAAAGATATTTAGGCCACATACAGTTGAAATGTTTGCTGCACATCATAACGTACAACTTAAGAATTACAGAACTTTAAATCATCCTTTAGGAGATGCCTTTCAACTAGACCTCTCCGAACATATTGCGTGGGCTAATCCACCATGGCAGTTAATTGCCCAATTACTAAATTATGTTCATATACACAAAGCTACCATCACGTTGTGTTGCCCATTACGGAGTAAAGATCCATGGCTCAATACATTAATAGGCATGATACAATGCGAGCCAATATATTTAGATAGGGAAGTAGATACTTTCCTATAATAGGGTACCCGAGCCGTCCAGAAGACGCCCTGGAGACATACTATAATATGTCATGCTCACATTGCTCGACTAACGCACCGACGGCTGTCTCTGCCCTGTCTGCCCCGGTAGCCACAAGTTCACTACCAGCCACTTTATCTGCATCCAACAACTGATACGACGCATCCTGGTAGGCCCGAAACTGCCGCCCATTGGTCCCTGACCCCCTTCAGGAATTACAAGAGTGCCACGACTTCCACGGTATCTGGACCCTCCACGAACACCTTGGATCTTTTCTCCAGCATGTTGAAGAACCACCGTACCCTCACCCGTCCCTGACACATCAACAGATGTTCCCCATACCCCGGGC